CTCCAGGCTCCGCATCCCCAGGCTCAGCACCCCCAGGCTCCGCACCCCCAGGCGCAGCACCCCCAGAAGCAGCAACCTGAACAGGACCACCCTCAGCAGGACCTGAATCACCAGTGACCTCAACCGGCTCAATCAAGGGAGGAGGGTCTACCTGAGACACACCTGAAGGAGCAGGACCGGGAGCGGGGAGGGGGTCTACCTGGGGAGCACCTGGAGCGAGGAAGAGCGGCGAGGGGGGGAGAGGGGCAGTGCGGTAGGGGAAGAGACGGTAAAAGGGAACCGACTCGTCGAACGTGACGTCCTGAGAGGGGAAGACACGACGCGAGGTGGGGTGGTAAAACTGCCAACCAGGCGCGTCAGGGACAAAGCCAAGGAAGACACAGGGAACAGCGCGGGCGGAGAGCTTGTCCGCGGTGGTATCGCGGACAAAGGCACGAGCACCCCAGACCCGGAAACGCGACGCATCGCCAACCTTCCCCGTCCACAGCAGTGTGGGCGAGGTCTCCGGCAAGGAGACACGGGGCCAGAGGTTGAGCTGATGCGCGGCGTACCGGACCGCAAACGGCCACAGAAAATGGGGGGCAGCCGCATGGATCATGGAGGTACGAGCGACCTCCATGACTAAGCCAATGCGGCGCTCAACAACCCCATTCTGCTGCGGAGAGGCCGGAAGCGTGAACGACTGGCGGATGCCGTGCTCCGCACAGTAGGCTGCCAAGAGGTCTGAGGAGAACTCACCACCTCTGTCAGAGTGCAGACGCAGGACAGGAAAGTCCGACTGGAACCGCTCGCGGAGCTGGAGACGAGTAGCGCGGATCCAGGGGATCAACACATCAGGGACCTCCCCCTTGCTGCGCAAGGGGAAGACCGTGGTGTAACGCGTGTAGTCGTCGACGACCTGCAGGAAGTACCGCTCGTGGCCCTGTCCACGGACGCGGGCTGGGCCCCACACGTCCAGGTGGAGAGTCTGCAGGGGAGCCTCTGTGGGAGGGAACGAGGAGGAGTGAGGAGCGGCGCGCTGCCGCCCCTCGACACAGGGAAGACAGGGAGGAGCAGGCGAGGGTGGTAGAGGAGGCAGAGTCTCTGGAAGTCCAGAGACAAGGAAACGGCTGTGCATGCTACGAAGGCGCTGCACGGAGGGGTGACCAAGGCGGTGGTGCCAAAGGAGGGTCTGGTGCGACAGAGCGCGACACGAGCAGGGGGCCGCTAGCTGACCTGACGCAAACGCAGACGCAGACGCAGCTACCTGAGGGGACACAGTGGTGAGTGTGTACAGACTCGAGCCAGGCTCTCGGGTGAACGTGGCCAGGTGCCGACCAGTCCGGGAACACGTACAGTGTGTCACACGCTGACCTCCAGGGGTGAACTGGTCAACCCACACATCCTGTAGGTCAGCTCCACTCACCAAGTTCGTAGAGAACGAGGGGAGGTGAAGACCTGACAGGGAGCCAGACGGGACCGCCGGACACGGCAGGGCCGTGGAGGAGTGCGCAAGGACTGGACCCCCAGAGGGGTCTGCCAGGGAGACTGCAACCGGCCGACGGAGCGGCGTCAGTGTGGTGCTGTCGCGGAAGAAGGAGCGAGAAGCACCTGAGTCAAGTGTGAAGGTGTACACGGCCTCAGCAGGCGCAGTACCAGAGAGAGCAGACTCACCAGCACCTGGAGCAGCAGCCTCACCAGTACCAAGAGCAGGAGACGCACTAGCACCTAGAGCAGCAGCCTCACCAGCACCTAGAGCAGCAGGCTCTATACCTGGGTCAGGCGGTACGCACAGGGAACAGGCACGGTCAGCACTAGTAGGCAAGGCATACATGGCAGTGAGAATAGCATCATAGTCAAGAGCAAAGATATCTACCCTCTGTCCAAGCAGCTCCAGCCAGGAGGGGAGCTCAGCCTCGTCGCCAAACTCGGTACGCCAGGCGTCGCTCAGACGGGCGAAGCAGCGGGACTGTGTGTGACCAAGCGTCCCGCACGGCTGACCGACCCGATCACCTGTGCGAATGACGTACGGGCAGCGAACGGTACTCAAAGACCCTCTACTCTGAGCGTACCACTCGTGAAGCTGCTGGGACGTAAGTGTCTCGCGTGGACGCCGCTGCAGCTGCAGCTGGCCACTGCCAGACGCTCCCAACTGACCAGCTCCAGGGCGACAGCTACGACGGCGACCGCCACAACCCCAACTAGCGTACCACTCACGAAGCTGCTGGGGCGTGAGAGACTCGCGTGAACGTCGCTGGAGCTGCATCTGGCCACCGCCAGTAGCAGTAGTAGCAGCAGTAGCAGCAGCAGCATCAGCAGTCTAGCAGTAGTAGTAGCGCAGGTAGGGCAGGCGCGGCAGGCAGGCAGGCAGGCAGGCAGGTAAGTGCTCACCAGTGGCGAGAAGGGCAGGCTCACAACGACGGCGACGGCGGGGCCGCGACAGCTGCGGCAGAGCAGGACCGCGTCGGAGGAAGGGCAGGTCCGCGACAGCTGCTGCAGGGCGCGGACGTGACGACGGCAGCAGGCTCCACGGCAGCTGCTGCAGGGCAGGGTCGCGACGGCGGCAGGAGGCTCCGCGGCAGGTACTGTAGGGCGGGGCCGCGGCTGCGGCAGGGCGCTCCGTGGCAGCTGCTGCAGGAGCGACGGCGGCGTCCAGGGGCAGCCGCGGCGCGCGGGGCTGCAGCGCGCCACGCGAGCTGCAAACGCGGCGCGCGAAGCCGCCGCGGGCTGCGCGAGGACGGCAGCCGCGGCGCGCGGGGCTGCAGCGCGACGCGCGGGCAGCGAACGCGACGCGCGGCGCTGCAGCGCGACGCGCGGGCAGCGGGCGCGACGCGCGGGGCTGCAGCGCGACGCGCGGGGCAGCGAACTGGCGGGGCGGCGCCCTGGCCTAACGGGCCTGGAGGGGCGGCGCGCAGGCCTGACGTGTCTGCAGGAGCGGCGCGTGAGCCTTACGGGCCTGCAGGGGCGGCGCTCTGGCAGCAGTGGGCAGTACGAGGGCTGCAGGACGGCGCGCGTAGCGCAGCACGTCACAAGGCAAGGCAGGCAGGCAGGACAACACGTGGGGTAACACGGTAACCGCAACGGTAGGTGGGCCCGAAAAAAAAACGGTCCTACGGACCTAGTGCTCTGAAACCATGTCAGAATCAAGCAGCAGGAATGGATGAAATATGAAAGAGTTGGGTACAAGTATGAAACCCTAAAAGGGGCTGTACCCCATATTGGCTACCCCACTACAGCCTACACATATATAACATGCATATACTTTGACAATCGCAAGTCTATAGCAACCGAGGGCCTACCTCAACAAGCCTCAACTGCACACAGAACCTGTGGTGGTCACCAAGCGCCAGGGCCTTGGTGAAGACGTCTGCAGTGTTTATTAGAAATAAATGGCCTTTTCCGAGGGTGGGGACTGCCTTGATAGGCTGGAGTCTGCCTTGACTGGGTATATCAGCCCCTTGAGAATCACACTTGATATATTTGCTGGTTGCTGCTTACCTGGAAACACTGGGAAATGGCATGTACGTTATTGAAGATTGTGGTTCCAATTCCGACGTTTATTCAAGGGTTATGAGGTTCGATGCAGGATGCCCGCTTCGATGGTGATTGTAACGACATGCGTTCCAATGTCTGGTCAAACTGTGACATTTGCGGGCGGTCGTGTTGTGTGCTTCGAAGCTGAGAGTTTCCTACCAGAGCAGCAGCCTATTCAGCAAAGCTCGAAAATCACTGACACACGGCACACCTCTTGTGCGAGCGGACAGGAAGGCGGTCCGTCTGATTGAAAGAATTTTGAGAAGGCGACTCGTGATGGATAAATATCACGTCACTTCCGCAAAAAATCAGCACCCAGAAGTGGAATTGGGGGCACCACACCACACCACACGGCTTCGTTTGCTGACGACTGCGAAAACTCGCGCGAAAACGAACACGCACCCGTCGTCCTCACCTCTCCCGTCCCGTCCAGGCCTGTCGAAGTTCCTGGGGCCCATACTTGGAGCCCCCAGCTCCTCCCTATCTGACCCTGTATTGGCCGTAGCTGAGTGTTTTGGCGCCCTTAACGGTCACGGGCGCAGGCCAAAGTGAAAACTTGATATCCGGGCTTGCACTCACACTATTTTAGCTAAGGGAAAGGTCGGCTGCTCCAAAGCTGACTTAGAGATATCACAAACACGGGATTGGCTAGAAAACGCAAAGGGAAAAATCCCCTTGGCGTGCTCTCGTGCAACCTAAGGAGAAAAGGGGGGGGGGGGGGAGTGGGGGGGTCAGGCAGAATTTCTTTGGGGGGGGAACCTAGAGCCGGAAATCAAAACTTTGTGGGTGGGGAAGGCCTGGTTGGAGCACTTAACACATCCGGGGAAGGGTCGAACGAAGCACTTAGTGGCACGGGTACAGGGCGTCCTAACACTTTATGCAGTCAAGGGCATTAAGGGCATATGCCCGTCAATCGACAGGCCTGGTCCCGTCCCTCCTCCCTCACCCCCAAACCCCCAACACCCCCTCCTCCTCTCAAGCATCCCTTGACTGTCCGCAATCGACCACTTTGGGCAGACGCGGCTCGTCCGTCTGACTGTGCACGGGGGAAAAGCAAATTCCGCAACACGTGAGCCCGCCACCCCACTTCCGTCAGCCCAACATTACCTAACCGCGGGCAGAACAGAAACGTTTGTGACTTGCGTTCCGCTCTGTTGGGCGTGTGGCCCATTTTCTGTGGAGAAGAAAAGGGTCCTGCGGCCCGCCGTGCCCCCACCCTTCTTGTCAGATCCGATGCCTATTTTGCGGTGCATCTTCCTTCGCTCCGTCACTTCACGACGAACCCAGACCACCACCACCATTCTTGCGCTTTCAGTCAGTTTCCCAAGCATCTCGAGCCAGGACGAGCAAGCAACTCTTTCCGTTCATCCACTTCCTTGCCAATTCTATTCACGCAAAAGAAGAGTTTACTCACGTTCCACATCTCCGAGATCGTTGTGCACCTACCGCGACCCGTCTCTTCTCTTTTCGAAGCAAGCGCAGACGCCATGTTTAAGCTAATTACCAAGCAGTCACCGAAGAAGACCATCGAACAGGCGAGGACGCTACGCGTCGATTCAGCGATAGCGGCCAGCATCAGCGATGCTATGCTGTATGTATCCTCGTCTGCACCGAACCCTCACCAGTTTTTCGCCATCCGTCTCTTATTTCTTTTTAGCATTTCTCGGCGAAGATAATCGTAGTTACCATATGCCCGGGCGGTATATGTGTTTTTAATTGCCGCGAATCCGCTCTATGTACGAATCCCTTCGCTCGTGCAGAGCTCTGCATAGCAATACGACTTCATTGCACAGAACTCGTTGCCTTCTCATGCCTTGTCGTTTCGTCGTATTGGCAGCGCCTGCACTCTCCCTCCCCTTCCAATTTCGATGCCGAAACAAACCCTCGCGCTTATATCCTCCTTGCTCCTCGCATGGCTCTTCTTTCTTCCAATCTCCCTCGTTTCAGTGAAGCGGGAGACTCCTTTTCCGTTGTGACAGCGCGTGGTATCAGCTCCGTGTATGCCGGTGACCTTTCCGCTGAAGGACTTCTGGGTTCACAGGTGGGTTCACTGGTGGATCCGCAGGTGGGTTCGCAGGTGGATTCGCAGGTGATCTCGCAGGTGGTTTTGCAGGTGGGTTTGCAGTTGCTTAAAAATCGAGAAGAATGGATATACGAAACGTGCCTGCAACCGACGGAGAGCGATAGGGCTACAAAATAGCCGCGAGAGCGAGCCCGGTAAGGACCGAACTCAGCTGTAGGGAGGAACGGTAATGTAAATTCAAGTTTTATTGGTATTGGAGTATGCCAAGAGACTCAAGTTTTATTCTGGAAAAACAGCTTGCTACATTGACGAAGACTCGCCTTTCAATAAGCAGCATTTGTCTTTGTTTATCTCACACCCGTGCGAAGCCCTTGTGATCGATTGTCCCTTCCACGCGTCACTCTCTCTTAACTCCCTGTTCACACACCCCGTTTCAGGGTGCTGCGTTTCTGACCCTGGAGTACAAGAGCTCGTCGCACACGGCGTATGTCAAGGTACGAGTAAAATGATTGCCCGCACTATACAGACAGTGAACTAGTGCTAGACGTTTCCAAGTGTAGGAAACAAAGTGCACTTGCGGATCAAAGAACCGAGGCATTTCACAAGGGCTACACAGCACAGCACGTTGCCTCATGGACTTCATTCCTTCTTTCACTCCTTCCTTCACCCTGCTCGTTCCGTCAGCACTGCGCAGGCATCTCATTTCACTAGGTGATCTTTTCCGCTCTCCCGTTTCCCGTCCGTGCTGTGTATTTACCAGAACGGCGCCACCGGCGAACTCATCATGATGCTGGTGCGCGAGTCGAGGGATAACTCGTGGCACGAGGAGGGAAAGTCGTACGCGCGTTTCGGTAACGCGACGGAGGCACGACTGTGGTCGAATGGGCGGCCTTTGGGGGTTAACTACTCTGAGACTCTTATGGACGTCGCGCCTCGGGTAAGAACCTAAAGAGCCTACCGATCTGTCTCCAGGCCACGTGAACTCCTGTTCATGCCTGCTGTGCGCACTCAAATTAGCCCCACCCAATCCTCCTAACCCTTCCGTTCCAAAAATACTGTGCGTGTCGTTCTTCTGCTGCAGTCGTTCAGTCAGGAGAAAGCACAGATGGGGGCGTCCATGATCGAGGTGATCAAGGAGAAAGTCGGCAACTCCGTCCGCCTGTACAAGCAGAAGGCGGATGGGTCGCGGGGAATCGAGGTCGCTGCATACACTAAGGTGAAAAACGGCCCTGCGGTGTTCCGCCTGGTTTCTAGGGACATTCTGGATCCTGCTGTTGCCGTTGCCATGTCTTGGTTTACCACAATCGACAACAAATAGAAACTTTTGGTCGCTCCCGCAAGGAATGTATGTAGGTTGTCCTACCCTTAGATCATAGTCTCTTCGGCTTACGGTTCCTTTCCTGTTTATGTTACTGTTTCTGATAAATAAAAGCAATTACAAGCACATTTAAACGCAATAAACACCTGAGTTAACATTTAGCAGCCCACTATAAGAACCCAAACTGATAAGGATATTCTTGTCAGAAGCATGTAGCTGGAAATCAATGTTTGCTGGAAGTATGACAGTGTCATTTAGTAGCCAGACTCGGGAGTATGTCCTTCTCCCCATCCTCCCACTGGAACTGGAACTGGAAGCTTGGGATGCTGGTCATGTCTGTCGCCTTTAAGAATCAGTACTCCATAGGGCACCACAGCTGCACATCTTCTGTGCACTTTAGGCTTGCCATCTCCTCCTGCTCTTGCGCACTTCCAGCAGAAAGGCCCTGAGCTCCATCGTTCACCACGGCAGTCACTTCTGATGTGGAACCAGCATGCACAGGGCCACTCGGTGCATTGCCGCTCCCTGCTGTATCTCCTTCCACTATCACTGGTATAGCTTGAGCTGCACACTCCGCGACTGCGTCCACTGCAGGACAGTTCACTTCTGCAGCCTCTGGTTGAAAGACCGTGCTGTCTGTATCAGCTTCAGGCAGTTTGGTAGGAAGCAGGGGACCATCATTGCCAACTTCGGCTGAGTTAGCAAACTGCTGTGGCTTCAAGTTTACAGCCTTCTCCTCCTGGTCCAGGTCTGTGGCAGTGTTGTCGTCGTTAGGCAGCGAGAAGGCACCTTCAAGCCCTGCCTGTACCAGACCATGCTCAAAGCTGTCAAAGAAACCGCCTGCCCCCATGTCATTGTCAGGTAGCCATTCCAGTACCTCCAACTCCTGCAGCTCCAGCTCTTGCACTGTAGCAAGACCTGCATCAGTCCAAGTAGCGCCATCCATGTTGTCATCTGGTGAAGGGATGGAGTAGCAAAGGTCTGCTGTGAGGCGGTTAGGTGACCCAAGGTGATCATTTATTAGCATTCCCCCATGGCTAAAAGGAAGCAGACTGGTGAAATGTCCAGAAGGAGCCGTTAGATGCTGCTCTGAGCTTGGATCCGCTACCCCTTGAAAGTGGTTGTTATGCTGAAGAAGAATAGAGCTGGTATAGTGGTCGAAGTTAGCTGTATGTGAAGCTGTAGGAGCAGTGGATGCACGTGGGAGTGGAGCAGCAGCGTTTTGCACAGAAGTGGCAGAGCTGTCGCATACTGACTCTGATTTCTTCATCCCCACAGTGCAATCCACGTGCGTGAAAGCACGGTTAGGAATAGCTGACAAGTCACGTGCAGGAGCTACGTTCATCAACGGAGGCACCATGTTCACAGTATTCCTCTGCACCTCTGGCCGCGGAGGTCTCGGACTGCTACACGGAATGGACTGCCGCAGTTGCATCTGTTGCTGATGTAAGCTCCAATGCTGCTGCTGCTGCTGCTGCTGTTCCTGCTGCTGCTGCTGTTCCTGCTGCTGCTGCTGTTCCTGCTGCTGCTGCTGCTGCTGCTGCTGCTGCTGCTGCTGCTGTTGGTATGGGTGGGCGTTGCGCTGATCAAGAGTTGGCTGATGACTGTCCGTCAGTGAAGACTGCAGGGGATGCTGTATCTGTTGTGTCTGCTGAGTATCCTCTGCTGGTCGCAGGTCTTCCTGGCTGCCGGTGAGTTGCTGATGCTGTCCCTGCTCAAGCTGTGGCAGTTCCTGTTGCGGAAGCCTTGGCTGCTGTTGCTGCTGTTCAGGTGACTGGAAACACATGGGCTGTTGTTGCTGGTTGGCACCGCATGGAGCCTGGGTATGTGGCAATGGCAGCTGCTGTGGCTGTAAATGGGTGACATACACTCCTGTAAGAGGCTGAGATCCAATCGGAGAGGCTTTCCCAGAAGACGGTGTAACTGCTTCAGGCATCGTCTGGCTGCAACCATTCTGGATCTCCATTGTCTGCCCAGCCTGCAAATTTCGTGCGACATCACCCAGAGGCTGGCTGCCAGCCGGACTTGCAGATCCCAAAGGTTGGCTTCCAAAGCTAATCTTGCCCCTCGTCGGCATGAGAGTGTGAGTGGCCGCGGCCATGGCGTTGGCCTTCTGCTTTGCAATGTCGGACAGCCGATCCACCCACCCAAGCCCAGTATGCGCACCAGGGCCCACGGGAGACGAACAGCGGCCTGGGGAGATGGTTGAGGGGCAAGAGCGCAGTTGAGGAGAATGCTGCGCCACAGAATTTGGACTTTGGACAAGATGGGCTGGGGGCGGCAGGGGAAGCGTCGCAGGAGATCGAAGCTGTCGGAGAGAAGACGGCACATGTGGTGAACATGTAGTGGAACCGCTTTGGTGCAGAGCCCATCCGCCAGGTGACGGAAGCGACTGACACCCTCCCTGGACAGAATGCTGTGTGGCCTTTGATGGAGGAAGACAGTCCTGGGTGAGAATAAAGCGAGGATCGCTTAAACTTCTTGTGATCACACCCTTGCGCTGCTGCATGACGGCCCTGCCAGGAGAGAGTGTAACGGAGTAACTTTGTGACTTTGTCAGCAGCGGCGAAGGGGGTAAAGGTGCAGCATTTAAGTGAAAATGACTGATCGTAGCGGTAGGGGAGGGGCTAGCACAGGCATTCAGTCCCATCAAGCCAAATATCTTCGCAGCTCTCTGGCCGACAGGAGGAATGACAGGAGAGCCGTGGAATAACGGAACGGACGATGGAGTCAAAGGAGGTGACGCTTTGATTCGTGGGGCCAATGGAACGTAACGCGGGGAGGAAATAATCCCGAAACTTCCAGACTTTCGCAGCTGATTAGGCGAGCGCGGAGATGCTGGAGGTTTTACGGGGGTCATAATACAGCATGACACAGAGCGCTGAAGCGGACTCTTGTTATTCGATATGCAGCGGGGATACTTGTCAGATGATGGGGTCATGGTCATGGTCAATGGTGACGGAATTGCAGACACAACTTGGCTGTGTTCTGAGGAAAAGAGGGCTCTTCGTTGAGATTCTGCGGGTCCAGTCGTATTTCCGCTTCCGCGAATGTGAGCTGCTGTATCCGATACAGGACTCCGCGTGGAATCGTCACGTATTTCCGTCGTATTGGACGGTCCCGCATGAAACTCGTGCTGGCTACACAGCTTTTTAGCACTTGACGGAGAAATCAAAGAGGCATTAATGTTGCTCTCGCATACTCCTGATGTAGCCTGCAAGATTTTGAACAGACAGATTAGACTACATTGTACACTTATTCCGTAAAAATGCCATCAGTAATGCAGGATAACGTACGGTTTGATAACTGACAGCAGAATCCAGTCCTGTCAAGTTAGGAGGTTGTATGTCATTCGTTGATATGACAAGGCCGGTAAGTCTGGAGCTTTCTGAATGATTGGTTGAGCTAGGACCGATCCCTTCCGTTGATCTCTTGCGCTTTGAGTTCGGGCTGCCATGCATGAAAAGTAAGAAATGAAAACAGCAATAAATCTCTCTTCTACAATGTAGCTCTCAGGCAGTGGTAAGAGAGAATAGGAAACAGAGCGAGCGTTACCTTGTTGTGAAACAAGAGTCGACCTTTCCGCTTTCACGTTCATCTGCTTTGGAGGATCCTGGCACAGCTTGAGAGATGGACTCTCTAACAGTTGCATTTGATGACTGCACAAAACGGTTGGTGGGTTTGAAGTCCCCACATTGTCGAGCCGTAACGCCGCTCGCGAACTTCGGAACGGGGGGAGTGTGCGGAGATAACGAGCATGACGATCTGACCACCAAGGGGTGGATAGCTGGCGAAAGAGGTGGAGACTGGCTCTGAAGACGCATAGGAGTGACCTCCCATTTGTGCAGAGATTTTTGCATAAGGCCTTGCTGAAGCGACGGTGGCAGTGGAGGGACGGATGCAGTAGAAACATGTTTAAGAGTAGGGTGTGGTGCGGGAGATTGCTCCGGAGCCTGAGAATCGGTATGTACTGACGTTGATTTGGCTCTGGAGGAAGACATGTTAGGAAATCTGGAACTTTCTGAATTTCCGTCAATGCTGGTAGCGTCAATGCACGGAAACTGAACAAATGGTACGCTCACAGAGGCCATTGCTCTGGCCCCAGAAAGCTACAACCATTGAAAGATGTTCCTTCTAAGGATGTGCTCGGTCAAGCCGTTCATGTTGACAATGTGCAACTGGAGTGCATGAACAACCCTTCAGAAGTGTCTGCTGTCAATTCTAGTCAAATTCCAGTGTGTGCGAGGTGCAACAAAGGCGCTGTCAGGGCAAATTCAGATTGTTAGCAATTTCCAGTGTAGAAGTGGAGAGGATTGCGGAACACAAGCGTCAGGAAGACAAGCTACGCTCTGAACAGCAGCAGCAAAGCCTTCTCAGTCGACGGGGTTTCCAAACCAGCCAAGGTGCCCCGACATAGGGTGCCGCTTCCCCTGATCACCGACGGATTGTCCAATTCAACAAATGATGACCGTCGGATCCATTGTGAACGGAGAGAAATCCGCGCCCGGGAGGATTTCATTTGCTTAGCTCACCCCCCATACCCACATGTGGTCGAGACTGTCAATGCTGGGTGGGTGCCATAGAAGCGGAACAACCCATCCTGATTCGTCTGATCTGCTGGAGCTCAGCCGTGAAATCGGGGGGTTTCATGCTCTTGGATGCCAGATTGGCCAGGGTGGAAGCACACATGCCAGAAATTTCGTCCAGTGTGCTTCCAATCACTGGTCTCCATGTTTTTTTCTTGGTCTCAAAAGTTTGAAGGAAAGTGAGAAGCAAGATTCGTAAGCACAATACGTGGGGGAGGGGTGGCGAGGGATGGGAGGTAGTTTTGTATGTTGCCATCTTTGTGGAGCATTTGCTTCACAAGATAAACTTTTATTTTTTACAAACTTACTTGAATGAACCGACGTGAATTCTAGCGTGGCGCTCCAGGTACAGTACAGATTTCAGAACCCCGAAACATTCTGGTCGGCCACGCCTTCCAAAGGAAATTGCCGGAATTCAGGAAGAAGATAAGCCTGATGATGTGTGATCAGGAAACAGTACTGCGGCACACTTGCACAGCCATGAACAGAAGGGCACCAATGGCACTATGAGGCGACATGTTTGTCAACGGCATGAACCAACAGGGTGGACTTCGACAACATTTGTGCATCGTTTACCTTGGTTGATGCCCGAATCATGGAAGTCACTTTTGAGTGGACATGACGAATCCTGTTAGACCTTTCAAACCCTTTCTGTGACGAGGGGTACGTGAACTGTAGCAAGCCTGTTACAGATGGTTTTTACATTTGTTACCAGTGCATATATAGCTGTTACAATTGCCTAAGCGAATATTACACTACTTAGGCAAGCTAATAAGGGCGCGTGTCCTTTGGAATTGATTGTAAAGATCATGATTTTTATTCGAATTTACCCATTTGAAATTTGGACCCCAGTTCATTGTCCTACAGTTTCATCAATCTTTAAACTTGGACACACGATTATCGCAAACAACCACATACGAAATTCACGAAACGGGTTACCAACAAATAGTCGACCTCTTTTTCAAACCTCTACACCAAAAGACACGCGCCCTAAAGGTGATCCGGATGAACGTACCGTCTTACTATGCTCCCTTTCCCCCAGCTAATTTTCTTTTCATATTGTGTCTGGGAATGCCACCTCACAAATAGTCCTCCACTTGCGGATGTGGATTTTTGCACAGCGATAATAATCATCATCAGTTTTGTACAGAAATCAAGCTCTTGGCTAATCGAAGAAAGCATCCTGATCAGAACCTCAGTTATCAGCATAAACTCGATGACGAATCCCGATTCCGTTGCTCGCCCTGTGAGATGATCCGCTGATGCACATAATTGGGTTTTGAAGCCTCACATGCGATGCCCTCACGCCGATCCGAATCAACCTCCCACCGTATTATGTATCTAAAAGTGTATTGGAGGCCTATACAATTTTGACGATAGTCTGTTAGAATGTTGAACTGAACAAGAATGATTGAACTAGGAAAGTTGGGAGTACAAGTATGAAACCCTAGAGATTGTACCCCCTAAGGCTAAACCCACAACAGCCTACACATCACAAACATATACAATGTTTGACACACCCCCATAGGCAAAGTGGGAGACAACCAGATGGTCACAAGACCAGTCAAGGCAAAGCAAAGCAAAACAAGCTCAGGGTGGATCTCAAGGATACCACACAAATTCCGAGCACAAGCAAGCGGTCACAAGACCAGTTCACATGCAGTTTGATAATAGAATAAGAGGTACAGTGATCACAACCTAGCAAGTGTAAGCATGCAGGTATATATATAGAGATCACAGTACAAGCAGAGTCAAGACGTGAGCAAGTGAGGGACAGTAGGCACTAGGCCTAGAACAGTACAGAAACGCTGATGATCACAAGGCTGAAGCGCCTTGGTGAACACATCAGCAGTGTTGGCCCGAGTGGCCACGTAGGTAAGACGAAGCTGACCACGCTGTTGCAGCTCTCGAGCAAGGAAGTAGCGCAGAGCGATGTGCTTCGTTCTGTGCTCCAGTCTGTGCTCCTGACACAAGGCAAGGGCTGCCTTGTTGTCGACGTACAGCACTGGAGGAGAACGAGGCCGCTCTCCCAGGTCGGTCAGCAGGTAGGTGAGCCAGCGTAGCTCCTGGGCAGCCATGGCTGTGGCGTAGATCTCAGCCTCACAACTGGAGCTGAGAACTGAAGACGAGCGTGTAGAACGCCAAGAAACTGAGCCAGAGCCAAGGCTGAAGGTGTAACCCTGAGACGACCGCTGAGTAGCCTGGTCGTCAGCCCAAGAAGCGTCTGAGTGTCCAGTGAGGACAACGTCGCGCCGTCCTCCAAGCACAAGCCCCATGCCCGACGTACTGCACAAGTAGCGCAACACCCTCTTAGCGGCATCCATGTGCTCCTTCCGGTGACGGCCAGGAGCGACATAGCGTGCTAGGATGCTAAGAGGGTAGGCTAGGTCAGGTCGAGTGCAGGTCATCAGGTACATGAGGCAGCCCACAAGCTCTGGATACGGGCCACTCGGCTCTACTGACTCATCCGAAGGCAGAGCTGAGAGCGAGTGACCGGTAGGCAGAGGAGTGGGCTGAGGCGAGGAGTACGTGAAGCGGAAGCGCTGAAGGACCTGCTGCACCATGTGTGACTGAGTCAAGGTGATGGTGCGCAGTGCTCTGTTCCGGGTGATCCGCAAGCCAAGATAGCTTGTCAGCTCACCCAGGTCTGTGCACGTGTGTCTCTTCTGCAGCTTCGACTTCACGTGGGCGAGTGCCTCAGTGTCAGCAGTAGCAAAGACCAAGTCGTCTACGTACACGAGAACGTAGAACGGCGGCAGAGTGGTGTCGGTGCGTAGAAACAGCGACGGGTCAGCAGTAGAAGGAGCAAACCCAAGAGCAGCAAGAGTAGTCCTCAGTGTGTCGTGCCACTCACGGGGTGCCTGGCGGAGACCGTAGACTGGCCGCCGGAGGCTCCACTGGGTACCAGGAGGGAACGACCCAGTGAAGCCAGGTGGGCGGCGCAGCCAGAACTCCTCGTGCAGGCTGCCTTGTAGGAAAGCAGTGCTGAAGTCAAGAGAGTGGAGCTCGTAGTCACGCTGAGCAGCGACGTGCAGCAGAACCCGAAGAGTGGTCATCTTCGTGGTCGGGGAGAAGGTCTGGAAGAAGTCAACTCCCTCTCGCTGACTGAAGCCTCGTGCAACGTAACGCGCCTTGAAGACAGGCGGAGAACCCGGCGGCCGCTTCACCCGGAAAATCCACATGCCACTGACGATGTTCGCCCCAGGTGGGGGAACCTCGTCGACGTAGGTGCCTGTGGACTTCCAGGAAGCCATCTCTGCGTCCATGGCTGTCTGCCACTGAGAGGAGTAGAGACCCTCCATCGCCTCTGCGTAGGAGCGTGGGGTCGGGATGTCTGGTGCATCCGGGTCTCCCTCAGGGGCAATCAGCATGGACACGAGATGAGGTAAAGCAGCGGCAAAGCACTCAAACTCCTCCTCTCTGTCCTCAAGGACGTCCGTGCCAAGAGCACACTCACCCCCGACGAACGGAGGACAGACAGACTCAGACTCAGCAACAAGGCTAGCGGCGTAGTCTAGACGACAGGCGGCAGCAAAGTCAACAAGCTCAGCGACTAGAGCAGACGCAGCAGAGGACTCAAAGGTAGGGTCAGTGACAACAGTGGCAAGGAGACGTGCGACTGTAGGACTGGCAGCACGAGTAAGGTCTGACGGCGGGTAAGCAACGTCAGGAAGAGAGGACGCAGGAGGAGATGGCAGAGGGACACGCTGTGGAGCAGTGGAAGGACGCAGGGTCATATAGTGAGTGCCAAGGACAGGAGGAGGACGCTGACGCGGAGCACGACGACCAGCGCGGACAGCGCGGACAGACGACTCTGGACGCGACTCAGGCGACTCTGGACTAGACTCAGGCGACGGAGGACGA